CCATCCTTCCTGCGTGATCGCGTGGCAGTGAAAGCCGACGCTTTTGCCCGCGGAGACTTCTCCCTACGCATAGATGCGCTGGAGCCGGCTGATGAGGGCATCTATTCCTGCCACCTGCACCACCACTACTGCGGCCTGCACGAGCGTCGTGTCTTCCACCTACAGGTCACTGAACCCACCTTTGAGCCACCTGCTCCTGCCTCTCCCGGTAATGGGTCAGGCCACAACAGTGCTCCTGGCCCAGGTGTGTGTGCAGCTTGCCAGCCCTGAGAATGGGACTGGTGTGATCTAGGGTGCCGGGGCTATTCCAGAGGCTTCCTTCCCTTCTTGGGAATTGCAGAGCCTTCCTTCCTCCCTCCCTCCATCCCTCCCTCCCTCTCTCCCTCCCTGCCTGCCTGTCTTCCTCCTTCCCCTTTCTTTCCTTCCTTCTTCTTCTTGTTCTGTCTTTGTTTTTTGAGACAGGGTTTCCTTGTGTAGCCTCCTCAGCTGTCCTGGAACTAGCTTTGTAGATCATGCTGGCCCTGGTCTCCTGAGTGTTGGATTAAAGGCATGTGCCACCACACCCGGCTTGTGAAGGTTTCTGATGCTTGCTACTTACCTGTAGATCCCACGGTGGTAAGTCGATCCCGAGGCCACAATGTCATCAACGTCATTGTCCCAGAGAACCACACACATTTCTTCCAGCAACTGGGCTATGTGTTGGCCACATTGCTGCTCTTCATCTTGCTGCTCATCACTGTAGTCTTGGCTACCCGCCATCGTGGAGGTGAGGCAGGATCCTTGGGATAGAGGGGCCCAGATTAACGGAGGACAGTGAAACTGACCCGATACTCCTCTTTTCATAGGATGTGAGGCCTCAGACAAAAAAACTGGGAAATCCAAGGGGTGAGTTTGTCTGCCTAACCCTCCTCCTAGACCTGCCCTGCCCCGCCCTCCTAAACTGCCATCCCCCTTTAGGAAAGATGTGAACATGATGGAATTTGCTGTGGCCACAAAGGACCAGGCTCCTTATAGGACTGAGGACATACAGCTAGGTAGGAGTGAGGGCCACAAGGGTCCAGGGGATGTGCACATTTTTTGGGGGGTGGGACTTATTCTTTTCTTCTAACCAGATTACAAAAACAACATCCTGAAGGAGAGGGCTGAGCTGGCCCACAGCCCCCTGCCTGCCAAGAATGTGGATCTGGATAAAGGTGAGTAGTGGAGGGAGACCCCATCATCCATCCCCTTATCCCACACATGACTATGAGTTCCCAGGACCCTATGGGTAGGAGACTCCTGCCATCTTTTCTGAGAAGGCCTTGGGAAGTCATACCAAATGTCTTCCCTTTTCCACTGGGACTAAGGGACAGAGAGTAGACACTAGCCATTTTCTTGGCTTCCAGAGTTCAGGAAGGAGTACTGCAAATAAATGGATCCTGAGCTTCTGGCTGGGCCAGCAGCTCTGTGTCAAAGAATATCTCCCTGACCCTCCTGTGGCACTCCGGCTTCTTCTCAGCGGCTGGTCCCGCTTGGCCTGAACTTGGCAGAGCAGCTGCCTGCACTTTGCTCTTCCAAGAATCACCCTCATCTTGATGAGCAACTGTGGGTTCCCTAGGGACTCTGGTATAGTATGGTTGCTGCCCTTCCATCACCTGTACCCACTGGTGGCCATACCCCCAACTTTGATACAACAGACATAGGTCCACCAAACACACAGTTTCCCGTGGACTCTTCCTGCTAGGGTGAAGAAGACACTTAAAGGTACTCCAGTTAACACTGCTAGGCACCAGTTCAACATGTTAGCCATTGTCTCGGGAAGTCCCCAGGATCTTCCTGGACTGCACTATGTCTATGCATTGCATAGGGCCCTGCGGACACACGTTCTGACTCATGGGCCAGCCCTCCTTGATGCTTTGGGCCACGTGGAACTGGCCCATTGCACCTTTTCTGCTTCTGATCCCTTTCTGCTCAACTCTTCCAAGAGCTGCACCAGCAGTTACTGGGCACTGTGTTACTCTTGGCCTTGAGATTCCTCCCCTTGCTGGAGTCTGGTACTGGGGCTCCATTTGCCCTCTGTTTTGGCTGAAGGTGGGGGAAGAGGGTTCTGAGTGGCCCGTGCTGCCTCATCAAACAGCTCCTACTGGGGAAGTTTTTATGTCATAATAAAAAAAACACACATCTGATTTTTAGTCTTGGCCCGGCTGTTTTGCTTCTGTTCACGGAGGACATATCTGGGCCTTGGGAACCCCCCAGGTTCTCATAACATTGGTTTGAGTTCTACCATCCTTCCCTACCCTCTTGAGTAGAAGGTCTATGTCACTGTCTTCCATGGTGAAGGACTTTCGGTCCCCTTCCCAAGTATGTGTGTGGACAGGAAGGAGGGGGGAGTATAACATGATGGAGGGGGCATAGGACATAGAAGGAAATGGTGTTGGCCCAGTTCTTTGAGAAGCAGATGCCAAAATGGAGTAAAAAAGAGGAAGCAAAGATAGTCAGGCACGATCCCCAAGGATACAGGTCTAAGCAGATTTGGGTAGAAAGAGCCCCAAGAGTCAGGGCTTGGCCAACAGGATCAGGTATTGGTTTTTTCAAGTACTGGTCCCCTAGGGGTAGTCATGACTGGGCATTGATTATGGGCCTTCAGCAGACTCAGAGGTGAAGAAGTAGCTAAGAGAGGTCACAGACTTCCATTCTCACTCACTCCTTTTTAAATAAAGATTTATTTATTTATTTATTATGTATGCTGTGTCCTGCTTGCATGAATGCCTGCATGCCAGAAGAGGGCACCAGATCTCAAAGATGTTTGTGGGCCACCATGTAGTTGCTGGGAATTGAACTCAGGACCTCTGGAAGAGCAGCTTGTGCTCTTAACCTCTGAGCCGTCTCGATGGCCTTACCCCTTTTTAAACAATTTAAAAATTTTGGGCTGAAGAGATGGTTCAGCAGTTAGGAGAACTGACTGCTCTTCCAGATGACCCAGGTTCAGTTCCCAGCACCCACATGGCAGCTCACAACTTTCTGTAACTCCAGTTCTAGGGTATCTAACACTCTCACACAGACATACATGCAGGAAAAACACAAATGCACATAAAATACATAAAGTGATAAATTATATATATGTGTGTGTATGTGTGTGTGTGTGTTTTGCCAGCATGCATGTCTGTGTACTACATGTGTGTACTGTTCACAGGAGCCTAGATGTTTGTTTGTTTTGGTACAAGGACTAGTTATATAGCCTTGTCTGGAACTCACAGACATCCACCTGCCTCTGCTTCTCTGTGCCGGGATTGGATTAAAAGCACATGCCATCACACCCTGCTTTATTATTTTTTTCTCATCTATATTGTGTGAATGTTTGTAGATAAAGGAGTGGCATGAATATGGAGGTTAGAGGATAACTTGCAGGAATCATCTTCTTCAGGTGGCTTTCAGCCTGCACTATGTGGGTCCTGTGGTTCAAACTTAGTCATCAGACTTAGCATCAGGCACCTTCAATAGCTGGGCCATCTTATTGGTCCTGCTTCTTCACTCTTGTCTCCCTCCAATGATCTCTGAAGAACAGTGAGGATAGGAAAGTATGGCAATCACCCACAAGGACCTCAGTGACCTGTTGAAGTATAGCTTGAAAATGTACTTCTCATAGTAGTGGCCTCTGGTCCCACCAGTGGTCACACTGCTACTAGAAAAGACCACCCCTAAAAAGACACAGGTTCTGACCTGCAGTGACCCAACCTGCCCCTATCAGCATCTGCAACATGACTTCCACCAGGCCTCTGGCTTCTAGCTCCTCCTATACTTTGGGGTGTCAGGTGGGGACCAAGGGCACTGGGCTGTGGGGACCCTTGAATATGAGTGTTCAGGAGCATCTTGTGTCTGGCCTGAGGGGCACTCAGAAAAGGGACTGTTTTCTTTCTCCGTTGAGCAGACTCCGTGAAGCCATCCTGTCTGGCTTCTTTAGGTTACTTCTGTAGAGATTCAAAGAAGAGGACCAGATGCTGGCAAAGAGAGTATGGGTTCCTGGGATAGCAGGCCCCTGTTGGGAGTAAGGGATTAAAGGGAAGAACTCTGCTTAGGCTGACTTCAGTGGCCTTTAGTAAACATTCAATGCCTTCTGTCTAACATCTGGGTTCTCCAGACAGTGGTGTGGTCTTTCTTGTGCTGGCATAGTGTTTGGGGATAGTCCCAGATCACAATAGGCACCCCTTGTCTCCATCACTGACCAGTATCCTATGCATTACCCTACTCTTATTACTGGTCAACAAAGGGCCTTAGGCCATCCTGAAGTAGGGGAGGCCTTCAGCCTAGCAAGACAGTAAGTGAGTCAACTCTCAGGTTGAGGTGCATCCTGGGGAAGACACCTGGCTATTTTGAGTACAACATCCCTTTGGCTTCAGTCGAAGCCTGGGCCTCGCCTGGACACCTGTGCACAAACCTGCACCTGCATCACACTCTAGTCAATCATTTGAGTTTCTTCAGGGATCCGATGGGACAAGGCAGCGGGCATAAGAACTGAGTTCAGAATTAGGGTGAGGCGCAGTAAGGCTCTCGCTGTCTTGGGTTAGACACGGGTATCTTCAAATTCTTGTGGAGCGCCTGAAGTCCCCAGAGTAGCCAGCGTCTTCGAATTCCTGGCACTGTGGATGGGATAACCGGACCGACCTGGCCCGACGACAGACGCTCCTCTGCTCCCTGGCAGATCGTCTTTTCAGGGACTCTGCCATTCTGAGGCCGAGCGTGCCCTTTTGCCCACAAACCCCAGACCCAGACGCTGCACGGATTCCTGCCCATTAGGAATCTGGGCGATCGCATGGTACGGCTTTGGGCTTCTGGCTCGGGGAACTCTGAGCCCCACCCAATGCTACCGCTGGGAGAGACCTAACCAGCTAGGCTTCCCGAACCCGCCCGGTCCCATCCCGGTTGCCCCTCCCGTGCGCAAGCCGTAGCCCCGCCCCGCCCTGCGCGTGCGTATCCCCGCCCCACCTGCGCTGCGGGCGTCCAGTGACGTCACCGGCTCCGGCGCGCCCTCTGGTGGCGGCGGGCTCAACCCCACCAGGCGGTTCTTGGAAGAGCCCGAGGGGGCGGTGGGCGGCAGTAACCCTCTCAGCTGCTTCCCTCGAGCCCGCTCCGGGGCTGGCAGTGGATGGGCGGCCGCGGGCCGCGGGGCAACAGGCGGGGAGCGGGTGCGAGCCGGGACCGGGCGGGGCGGGCGCGCAAAGGGGCCGCGGGGCGGCCGGGCGGGGCGCGGGCCGGCGGTTTGGGAGGGCGCCCCGCGTCCGAGAGGTGAGCCGGGCCCTGACGCTGCGCGGGTTCCGCGTCGCTGCTGCCGCGCCATGGCGGAGACCAAGATCATCTACCACATGGACGAGGAAGAGACGCCGTACCTGGTCAAGCTGCCCGTAGCTCCCGAGCGCGTCACACTGGCTGACTTCAAGAACGTGCTCAGCAACCGGCCGGTGCACGCCTACAAATTCTTCTTCAAGTCTATGGACCAGGACTTCGGGTCAGTGGGCCGCGCGGCCTGGGCGGGAGTGCTGGCCCTTTCCCGCGCGTGTGCGGTGCCCGCCGGGCCCCCGTGCTGGCACGAGCTGGCACCTGTCTGTGCAGGCAGGGCTTTCGGGTCTGGGGACGTCAGAGCGCCCCCGGCGCCGGCAACCCCGCCGCGCATCTACAGCAGGTGTAGATGAGTCTGTGCGCCTTGGTGGCTCTTGATGTATGTACTCACCTGTCTGGCAAGCTGGGGATCCGAGTCCTTGACTATCCATCCTCTTAGATAGGCCAGAGTTCTTTTAGATGGACAGGCGAGGGCCCAAGCTTTCTGACCGCCATCCAGTGGTGCCCCTGTGCCCAGCTGGTCCAGATGGGGTGCCTAAGGCCACCCTCAAAGCCACCTCCCCTTGTCTCTGGTCAAGCACAGGTCCTGTTCCATTCCTCGTCTATGGGTGGAAACCGGGGGCTCATGGCTGCCCTGGAGGGTGTGCAGTTTATGGGGGGGGGGCTGGGATTAAGGGGGAGGGTTAGAGGTTTCTGACTCCCAGCACTCAGTGGATCCTCCAGGTGAGATGGGGTAGTGTGGAATGGTTTGGCCATAGGCACCCATCTGTTTTCTAGAGCTTAGAAAAGTTTCTGACGCCTAAAGACTCCTCATGGTCCCTCTAGAGTTCCAGTGGCAAGGCAGAGATCAAGGGACATTGGAGACTAAGAAGCTCCAGTCAGTATCGCCTGGCCCCTTGGCTGCTGTGCCCCTGTCCCTGTCCTTACTGAGCTGGCAGCATTTGCATTTCCTGGGAGGTGCTCAGGTTATCTTCTGACTTGAGCCAACTTCTAAGGTAGTGTGTTTCTTAGATGCACTGCTGCAGTAGGTGTCCCAGGAGAAGGGACTTCCTACTTGAGCTAAGCTGGCCTCTGAGACAGTGAGCCAGGGACTGGCAGTGTGCAGCAGGGGCCTGACAGGGCATAGCCACAGAAACCTGAGTCCATGGCTTGGCAGTGCCTGAGGCGGGGGCATGCTCAGGCCCTGTGGGTGGAGCAGGTGTGTTTGGTGCCCTTGTGTGGCTTTGACATTGAGACTATTTACTGGATTTTGTGGTTGCAGGGTCCCTGGGCAGCCCATGGGATCAGGTCAAGCTTGGACTTCTCCCTGACCCTGGGCATCTAGCCAGGGCTCAACCTGGTTTGGACAACTAAACTCACCTACCCATTCCCTGTGCCCCAACCGCCAGGAAAAAGCAAAGGACAGCTTGTCCCCACAGATTCAAGGCTGGTGCTCTCCGTCTGCCTAGAGGCTGGAGGGTTGTGTTCTGGAGATTGGTCTCCCTGCTGGGCCACCACTGTGATCTCTGCTCTTAGGAACAGGGTATTTCTGGATTGAATTTATTATTTTAGATTTTAAAAAAAAATCACCAGTTACAAATGTTCTCACAAACTTGGGTGTGGGTGATGAGGAGCAGACCCAGACATTCTGGATGTCTCCTGAGGGTCCCTCTGCTTTCATATGCATGTTGGATATGAGTAGTAAACTAGCATCGGCTCACATGGGCCCCCACTAAGCTGTGATTGTGTTCAGGAGGACCTTCAGGTGCCCTAAGGAGGTCGGGTGGTAGATGTATCTGGGTATTGAAGCAGGAGTAGTTCCTTTGGGTGGGTTGGAAATGCCTGGGACATGAGGTATGGAGTTAGCAGAGAGTGCAGAGGTACAAGTTGGGTGTCCTGGGTGTGTAGAAGAACTAGGAGGCAGAGCAGCTAAAAGGTAGAGTCTGGGCCAGGATGACACAGAAAGGCATAAGCAACATGTCGGTAGGACTCACCCCAACCATGACTTGGTACTCAGATGGCATAGTGGCCTTGGGAGCCTGGAAGAGCAGCCCCCCCACACACACACATAGCGACATCTCTCACTTCCTTGCCTGAGTTCTACATACAGAGCTCCAAGGTTACCAGGCTAAAGTAGCTTAATATTGGGAGAGGGAATCTCAGCAGGGTTGAGCTTGGCAAGTGGCCTCAGAATAGAGTCTGTGAGGAGTATCCTAGTGCGCCTGGGTTTTCTGTCGGACTCCAAAGCTGGCAACTTTGTAAGGAGCAAAGTCTGCCCTGAGCTGGACCAATTCCCAACATGTGTCTCTCGCCAGTAAGGTCAAGGTCTTTGTTCCATGCCCACTTATGTGCAGCTTGTGGTTGTTCTCACCCTGGACCCCCAAGACTTAGCAGCAGGACTTCTGGGCTTCTGGTTGGCCCTGTGCAAGTGTCTGATGTTTGATCTGGTGACTATGGCAGAGAGTGGAGTACATTTGGCTCTTGGTCCCTGCTACTAGGAGTGTATTGCTGCTGCCAGCTTTCCTGATATGACACTGAGCTCATCTGCTTGAGATAGAGGTACCTGAGCTGCAGAGAGGTAGGCAAGGGTAAGGGCTGAGAGCCCATGGGTCCTCTGCCTGTTGGCAAATGTTCTGAGGTCTCCTTGTGCCCTGGAAAGGCTGCCTGGGGTCAGGGATTTAGACTCTCTGTGTTCCATGTGCTTCCTAGGATTTATTGTGTGAGGCTAGGTAATTATAATGCATTCCCTGGGCAGGGTAAGGGGGTGAGCTCCATATTCTGGGGCTTAGTGCCCCATGGGATGGGTTGTAAGCAGAGTGGCTAGCTATAGTCAGGGGCTTACCAGTTTAAGTCCATGGGTAGTAAGACTTCTTAGGCCAAGAACCTGGTCCATATCAATGCTTGGTAGGAGTTGACCCTCATTCCTGGTGGCATGCAGAAACCCCCTGAAGCTCAGGATATCACCATGGCCTGTGTCTGCTTGCTCTGCTAGTGTCAGCTGGCTGTGTATGGAATTGGAAAGAGGATAGCTCAGGGCCATGCCATTAGAGAGTTAGTCTATGTGTTTCTGTGACTTCCAGGAACCCTGCCTGGGATAGTTCCCTGGGGGGGGGTGACAGTCAGAGCCCAGTGACCACAAGGATCTCTCCAGAAATTATGAGGTTGGGGCAAAATGCCTGCAAGGGTGTACCGAGTAGCCATGCAGAGTCTGCTTTCGTCCTGACAGACTAGGCATATAAAGCTCAGGATGGTGCTGAGGTCTGACTGTGCCTCGTTCTGTCCTAGTTATAGAGCGCCCAGGAGTCTATATCATAGCTGCGGGCAGCATCACATGCCTGTGGTGCCCATTCTTGTCTTTACCTTGGGCATTGTGATGTTCACCTCTTGCTTAGCTGAAGGTGGGGAAGGACCAGGATTATCCATCCTCTCATTACTGTTCTGGTTCCCTGGCTTCCTTCTTGCCCTGACTCCTAGGCAGAAAGCAGGACTTGGGTTGCTCAGGCTGGGAAGGCTAAGGAGAAGGGTGTCTTGGTAGGGTTTGGAAGGCACAAAGACCTCAAGCTGGCCATATCACCTTAGTAGGCTCTAGCTGCTCTGGATGGGACACAGTGCCTGCTGGGGATCCAGGCAGGCCCCATTGTGGGTGCTAGGAGTTGCTCATTTGTCTCTCCATGGGTGAGTCAGAGAGGGTTTGAGGTTGGGTGTGGCAAGGCAAGGCTGTTGGTGGGTCCACTTAGAGCTGAGGTTGGGGGCTAAGATGAGGACTTCTATCTGGGTTTCTCTTGCTGTTAGGTTACTCAGCGATAACAGGCTTTCTGCAGGCCATGGTCCACCATATGCCACAGGCAGAGCCCAATGGTTCTCAAGAGAAACTTCTCCGCCTTGGACAGCCAGCCCCAGGTCTTCCTGTGATGACAGGCTCTCTTGTGGCTGCCTTGGCCCAGGCTTGTAAATGGAGCAAGCCACAGAGCTGTGACTTGTGATTGAGGGCAACAGATACTCGGTGTTCTGAAAAGTGATTCTATCTGCTGTCGGGTGCTGCCTCATTGGTCAGAGCCCTCATAGGACACACAATGGTAAGACCAGAAAAGTGGTTGGAATACACTTTCCCTTTCAGGCTGCTCTGCCCAGCAAGTGGGTGGACAGTGGCCCTATCCCCTAGATGGGATGGGATGTTGTTCTGCTAGGGCTTCCTGTAATCCACTGCTGCCCAGTGGGCCTGGAGCAGTAGGCAGAGGTGGCCCTGCCCCTGGCATTGGGCCCATTAAGCCATAAGCCTGTTTCCTGCCAGGTGCACTTCCAGGACCAGTCTGGTTTCCCAGCTCCATTGAACTCAAGTTTTGGGTGTGGAAAATCCCACTATGCTAGGTGGAGCTGAGTACTGGGGATGACGGTGAGGGGGTGGGGTATCATGGGCCTGAGGAGATAGGCGGAGGCCTGCTTCTTCACAGCTGCCCCTTCTGACCTGTCCTGGCTGCTGTCCGTGCCTTTTGAACACTGATCCCAGGCTTTCTGGCTTCCTTCCCAGTTCTCATTCCTTAACCCTTTGTATCCTGCTTAGGTGAGCTTGGCTCTTTTTTAGACCATCTGACCAGGGAAGCAAGGATAAACCAGGTGGTGGTGCTTGGGAGGCAGGCAGATCTCTGTGAGTTCGAGACCAGCCTGGTCTACAAGAGCTAGTACCAGGCCAGGCTTCAAAGCTGCACAGAGAAACCCTGTCTTGAAAAAAACCAACCGACCAAACAAACAAAAAGACAAGCAGGAATGGGTGTGGTCAGTTACAGCCAGGGCCTGGTTAGTTCTGTCCCAGAATGTCCTTCCAGGTCCTCAGGTAGAAACCAGCCATTCCCTCTGAGAGTTGGGACTGATCTGGTGCATGAGGTCCACGTTGTCTTTCTAGTTGGGTAGATGGCTTTGAGGGCGGCAGGAGCTGGAGTCCTTCTGGCTCTCTCACCTCTACATAAGGGTTGATAGTCCTTTACCTTGCTGTAGTCTAGGCCCTGTTCTAGGCTGGGGGAGTGCAAAGGGAACTTCAGAGTCTCGGGGGCATGGAACACCATGAGATGCACATCACATTGGTCAGAGCTTACAAGTGCTCCAGAGAGGCACAGAGGGTGTGCTGGGAAGATGAGCACAGGAGCCAGTGGGCCATAGGCTGTCCCAGGCACCTGGATACCATTCCCTGAAATAAGGAGGCTGTCAAGTGTCATCTGGGGCGGTGAGACAGCTATTGGGTTCCTATGCATATATAGCTAGAGACAGGTCTGCGGTAAATCCTGAGGCCAAGGTAGCTGAAGAATCAGGGTCTTTTCCAGGAAACCTTAAGTTTGTCTAGGGCTAGAGGTTGACTGGAAGTGAACAGGAATCCTAGAATGTCCTTCCATGAACCCTCTACATCTGTCTACCTCAGTGCTGAGGGTCAGGGGCCTAAGGCCAGTGGAGGGCATCAGAGTTTCTAAGAAGAGAATGTGTTAGGTAAATCTTCATTGATAGTATCTGTGGCCTGGCAGCTACCCCATTGCTAGGTCCAAGGGTGGGAGATGTCTCTCTTTTTTTGAGGGGGAGGTTTCGAGACAGGGTTTCCCTGTGGCTTTGGAGCCTGTCCTGGAACTAGCTCTTGTAGACCAGGCTGGTCTCAAAGAGATCCATCTGCCAAGTGCTGGACTTAAAGGCGTGTGCCACCACCGCCCAGCAGGAGATGTCTCTGACTGTCCTTGGTGGCCCAGGTGAGGTGACCTGGGGCCTTGTTTGCCCACAGAGTGGTGAAGGAGGAGATCTTCGATGACAATGCCAAGTTACCCTGCTTCAACGGCCGGGTGGTTTCCTGGGTGAGTCTGTGGGTGGCCCCACCAGAATGATGCAGTTAGGGGTCTTCCTGGGAGAAGCAAGGTGATTGGACAAAGGGAGGGCAGTGGTTGTGGTCTGCCCTGGGTGTCTGTGGGGTGTTCTTAAGGCAGATGGGCATCCAAGGCCTCACTCTCCCTTCACAGCTGGTCCTGGCTGAGGGCGCTCACTCGGATGCAGGGTCCCAGGGCACTGACAGCCACACGGACCTGCCCCCACCCCTTGAGAGGACAGGCGGCATTGGGGACTCCAGGCCCCCCTCCTTCCAGTAAGGCCCCTAGCAGGGACAGAGGCCTGCCACTGCTGGGTACTGGCTGCCCAAGACCCAGCTGGGAAAAGTGAAGTGTAGCTGACAACAGAGGAGGCCTATGGTTGGGTGGGAGGCACCTTCTAGAACTGGGATTCTAATTCTGCTTGGTGGGTTGGGGACTAGGAAGCATTTGAGGAACTGGTTGCCAGCAACCTGGTCTGCCCAATTCTACATACTTTTCATCTGTGCAGTCCAAATGTTGCCAGTAGCCGTGATGGAATGGACAATGAGACAGGCACAGAGTCCATGGTCAGTCACCGGCGGGACCGAGCCCGACGTCGAAACCGCGATGAGGGTACTGTGTCTGTGTCTGCCCGGATCTGGACCCCAAACTTCCTTTGGTATCCCTTTGGTATACTTCAAGCCCCTGGAAATACTCCACACATTCTTTCAGTCAGTGATCCTTGGGTAGGGGGTCCCAACTTGGCACTTCTACTCCCTGTGGCCTCAGAGTCACTGCATGAGCTTGAAATGCACAGTCCATCCTCATTCTGTGACTGCTGAAGTCCCACAGTCAGCTCCCACCCTACTGTCCCTGCAGCTTCCCGGACCAATGGACACCCGAGGGGAGACCGGCGGCGGGATCTGGGACTGCCTCCAGACAGTGCATCCACTGTACTGAGCAGTGAGCTTGAATCTAGCAGCTTTATTGACTCAGATGAGGAGGACAACACAAGCCGGTAAGTGGCATGTGCATATGTCTGTGCTGGGGATTCAGGCTTGAGTGCTGGCTGGCTTTACACATTTGTGTCCTGTGCTTATCCGACTCCTGGCTTCTTGTTCCTGCCTCTGGTGTCCTGCTCCAGGCTGAGCAGCTCTACAGAGCAGAGCACCTCCTCCCGGCTAATTCGAAAGCACAAATGTCGGCGGCGGAAGCAGCGCTTGAGGCAGACAGACCGGGTAGGCAGCAGGTGGGTGGGGTGTCTTCTCTGAATGGTGCCCACACAGCCCCTCATTGGGTCCCTCCACAGGCATCCTCCTTCAGCAGCATCACCGACTCCACCATGTCCCTGAACATCATCACCGTCACTCTCAACATGGGTGAGGCCTTACGGGCTGGTGGGTGCTTGGTGGGGGTGGGTTCAAGCCTGGGAGCCTTTGGGGCCTGCTCATGGCCCCTCCTGCAGAGAGGCACCACTTCCTGGGCATCAGCATCGTGGGCCAGAGCAACGACCGGGGTGATGGCGGCATCTACATTGGATCCATCATGAAGGGCGGGGCTGTGGCTGCTGATGGCCGTATCGAGCCAGGCGACATGCTGCTACAGGTGGGAGCCATGTGGGGACTATGGGGGACAAGATGCACCCCCATCCCACCACCAATCCCTGACCCCACAAACCCCATAGGTAAATGATGTCAACTTTGAGAACATGAGCAACGATGACGCTGTACGGGTGCTTCGGGAGATCGTATCCCAAACGGGGTGAGGGGGGATCCATGTGGGGATGGGAAGGGCATGGGATGGGAGGGGTTGTATGGCCCTCACCCATGTGATTTGCTGAACTCTCCAGGCCCATCAGCCTCACAGTGGCCAAGTGTTGGGACCCAACCCCTCGGAGCTACTTCACCATCCCAAGGGGTGAGTGACCCCATGGTGGGGTGAGGTGGGATAGGGTGGGGTGGGGCGGGGCGGGGCGGGGTGGGTTCCTAGGCCCAGTCTGAAGGGTCTTTCTTCTCTGCCTCTGTGCTGTCCCTGTACTTTCTATCACCTGCCATCTGTTGCCATGTGGTAACTGTCCAGCTGACCCAGTGCGACCCATCGACCCGGCTGCCTGGCTGTCCCACACAGCAGCGCTGACCGGTGCTTTGCCCCGCTATGGTACGAGTCCCTGCTCCAGTGCCGTCACACGCACCAGCTCTTCCTCACTAACCAGCTCAGTGCCTGGCGCCCCACGTAAGTGGCAGCTTACAAGAGCCTCAGCAGGAAACTGAGGTTGAAGGACAAGGGTCTGCCCCGGCTTTTAGTCTTGGTGCTCACCGGAACTATTCCTGGGCCCATTATATATGATGTGTCTTTCCCCAACACCTTCACAAATGTGTACACAAAGATACATGTACGCATCTCTCATAGCGCAGCCATACAGGCCATCTGGATACGCCAGGCCTGTGTTGAGGATTGGGAGGGAGAACATGGTAGTCTCTGCTTTGCTTTCCTGCTGCCTAACATAACTAACAGCTTGAGCACTCCAGGGAAGTGTCCATGGGGGAGGGAAAGGGACTGGTTTGTCATATGAACCTGGACTGTGGAAATGGGGAGAATATTCCAGTTTCTCTCAAGGTATTGCTGAGCGATACCTCCCAAGGGTGGGGGATGGAGGTTATGAGCCTGGGCTCCCAGCTTCAGTCAGCCCAGCGCTCAGCCCCTGCACGTTGGTTGCTTGCCTGAGCTCAGAGCACTGTGCCTTGCAGAGCTTGAGGAGGCAGCACTGACAGTGAACAGTGACATGGGCGCCATTGTGCGGGTCATGCGGTCGCCAGACTCAGGACTGGAGATTCGGGACCGCATGTGGCTTAAGATCACCATTGCCAATGCTGTCATCGGTGAGTCCCTGGCCGTGTGGGAAGGGCCCAGTCTGTTCTTCATTCTGGTGTAGCTTCCCAGGGCTCAGCTACCCTGACTTTCGTGGGCCTGTGGCCAGGGGCAGATGTGGTGGACTGGCTGTACACCCACGTGGAGGGCTTCAAAGAGCGAAGGGAGGCGAGGAAGTATGCCAGCAGTATGCTGAAGCACGGCTTCCTGAGACACACAGTCAACAAGATCACCTTCTCTGAGCAATGCTACTATGTCTTTGGGGACCTGTGCAGTAGTGAGTAGGGGGTCATGGGGTGGGGGTTGTTGTGGGGCTCCTTTATTTGCCCTCACTTATCTGTCCCCTCCCTTCCTGCCAGACCTGGCATCCCTGAACCTCAACAGTGGCTCCAGCGGCGCCTCAGATCAGGACACACTGGCCCCACTGCCCCACCCATCTGTTCCCTGGCCTTTGGGTCAAGGCTACCCCTACCAGTACCCGGGGCCCCCGCCCTGCTTCCCACCTGCTTACCAGGACCCTGGCTTCAGCTATGGCAGTGGCAGTGCGGGGAGTCAGCAGAGTGAAGGTGAGAGTCACGCAGCCCCTCCTCCACTCCCACTCCCTGGCTCTGCCTGGCCTTGCTGCTGTCCTCTGTGCTGCTGCTGTGTGCTTGAGTCCTGGTGGGTCCCGTTTCAAGAGTCAGTGTGGGTCAGGGAGGGGGCTGATGTGGGGGAGAGGCCTTTGGGAATAGGAAGACTGCCTGGTGTTCCAGGTGGCAGAGGCCAGAGGCCAGGAGATGTGGCAAGAATGAGGGTGAGAATAGCCAAGGGTATCGTAGAGTTACTCTACTCTCTAGGCCCCAAGCTAAGGAGAGGGTGGGCTTTATCAGTTACGGTACCTGTAACCCAACAGTGCCAGACAAGAACAGCAAACAGTACCATTAGAGTATTTCCTAGACATATTGAAGATCTTGGAGGGTGGGTGTCCCTGAAGAGGAGATAGGCTGGAGCAGGCATGCTAGGCAGAGTGAGGCTCAGAAGCCATGCTACAAGATCTGGAGAAAAACCCAAGGCAGTCACCTTTGAGGACATAGGATGGGAGAAAGGAGAGGTTGGGCCGCAGGGTGGCAATGCCCAAGGGGAAGCTATTGAGTGACTACTGACCCTGAACAGGCCCTTGCATGCACCCGAGCCCAGCTTGACCCACAATAGTCCTAGTTGGCCATTGGTGAGCACTGGACTGGTGTGTGACTTGTGCTATCCCTTGCTTTGTGCTGAGCAAGCCTTAGACTGAAGGACTAGCAGAGTGGACCCTCGGGCCGGTAAGCCAGGTCCCCCTGTGTCCCTCTCAGCATGTCCCCAGCCAGCACGTGTTTTCAGGTTTCCACCACTTTCTGGACAGAAGCTAAGAAAATTAGCTGACCAGGGCCCTGGGGTTGGGTGGACAGTGGGTCTTTGGGTGGTAAACCCAGGATGGCTAACGGGAATGCTGGGCACACAGGGCCTTCACTGGTGTCTTAGATTCTCAGCTGTAACATCAGCCCTTGGTTCAAGCATCGGGGTCAGGTGTGGGGTGCCAAGCTGGCCCTCATTATCTCTCCTGTCTGCAACTGCCCCTAGCTCCTTGCCTCTCATCTGCTCCTGGTATCTGCATGGCTGCCATTCCCCTACTACCCCCAGGCTCACCAGGTCCTGCCCTGGCTGTCTGGGAGCAGCTGGTGGTCCTGGAAGTGGCTAGGCCTGATGCTGACTCTGTTGTCCCTTCCCTTCTCTCAGGGAGCAAGAGCAGTGGGTCCACAAGGAGCAGCCATCGGACCGCAGGCCGAGAGGAGCGCCGGGCAGCTGGAGCTGGGGGTAGTGGCAGCGAGTCAGATCACACGGCACCAAGTGGGTCTGGTAGCACTGGCTGGTGGGAGCGTCCAGTCAGCCAGCTTAGCCGTGGCAGTAGCCCTCGGAGTCAGGCGTCAGCTGTTGCCCCAGGCCTCCCTCCACTGCACCCCCTAACAAAGGCCTATGCAGTAGTGGGTGGGCCACCTGGAGGGCCCCCTGTCCGGGAGCTGGCTGCTGTGCCTCCGGAACTTACAGGTAGCCGCCAGTCCTTCCAAAAGGCCATGGGAAACCCCTGTGAGTTCTTTGTGGACATTATGTGACTATCAACCAGTGTTTTCAGTGCTGCTTGTGGCAAGAGTCTGTGGTCCTGCTGTGCTGGGACCTCTAAGGGCTTGCCTTAGTGGTGGCCAGCCAGGATAGATCAGCCTTGGGGTCCGGGTCAGGGCCGAGGGGGCAGGCTGCAGAGGAAGGGCTGAGGGCAGCTGCCATACTTCTAGAATATGGGCTTGGCATTCTGCCTGCTCTGTGGTGCAGCTCGAGTATCTGTAGATTCTTGTGAGGGGACATCTCTGCCTTTAGGTCCTTAGCACAAGCCTCAGGGACCACCTTCTGGTTCCCTTTTTGGAAGTGACCTACATTTAGGGCAAGAAAAGACTCTGTTGGGCTCTGTGCTCACTCTTCACACCCGCCCAAAACTCCCAGAACTGTGCACAGGGTCCCAGACTGACTCTCACTGCATTCATGGGCCTCATCTGTCAGGCCAAGGTGGGCTTCTTGAGAGGTTAGACTGAGCCCTTAAACCTCTCTGGCTGCCCATGTGGGGGTCTAACTTATTTATTTATTGCTAGCCTGTCGGCTCTGAGGGTGGCAGCTGGTTACCCAATGGGGGCAGGTGCATGTCCCTTCCCCCACTTGGTAACTCAGCACATGATAGCACAGTTTGTCCTGTATGTGGAGGATGGCTAGTATGGGAGACAAGAGAGGCCAGCGTCAGTGGAGGGGTGACAGTGCACACAACGCCACAGGTGGGGTTCTGTCCTGTCGTTGCTATCCTGGTGGCTCTCCACAAGCCTGAGCGCTGCCATTCTGGCATGCAGCCCCACACATCTGCACTGTAGATACTCTGTCAAAGCCTGAGCAACTGGGTAGTTCACATAGAGCTGCTTCTGTGTAAATGCTGCTTCTGTGTAAATGCTATTTTAAACACTAAAAAGCGTTTAATTTTATGGGACTGATGTGTGGCTTGTTCCTCTTTTCTCCAGCTAAGCTGCTTCAGATTCAGGAGTGGGGGCCAGTCCAGAACTGACTCAGGTCTGGTCCTGCCTGGAGTTGGAGGAACTTAGTCATGTGGCTCTGTCCCTGGTGCTGGCCACTTACAGGGGTCTCATAGGCAACTTTTCTGTCCTTGGTACTAGGAGCAGACTCTAGGGGTCCTGGGTGGCGGGTGCTGGCCGTGGTGCTGACCAGTACCCTGGCTTGTGCTCTGTCCAAGGTGCTGGTAGTGACTTGGTTCTCTCCTTCAGGCTAGGGTTAGGCCAGGAAGGGAGGAGGAGGTTGGATGTTGCCTACCTCTTGAGTGCCCTCTGCTTGCTGGCTTTTTTGCTTTGTCCCAGTGCATACATATGCCCAGCCTTCTATTTCTGGGATTCCTGTTCAGGGTGCTGAGGGCCCCAGGCTGGGCATGTTCAGGCAAGTAGCATCTTCTGGCTTCCTAGGGGGTCTGACTATGGCATTCCTGAACTCAAGATATGGCTATTGGAGTTCCAAAGAACACTTTTTGGGCCACTCTCTAAGATAATGGATCCTGGTCACCTGGGCAGGCCTTAGGGCATTAACAGGATCAAGAATGATCTTGCCTGTGAGGGATAGGTGGGATCGCAGGGTCCATCTTGCACACTGAGGGCCTGACGGTCACTGTGGGGCTAAGGTCAGTGGATAACTTGGAGTCAGTCCATAGTTAAGTGTCTCAAGTCTCAGGTTGTTGGCTTGGAAGGTCTCTTATTAGGGCTGGGGTCTGTAAAGGTGAGGTCATCGGGTCAGCGGTCACTCATTGTCCCCGAGTCACCACCACCACCTCCCCCACTGTTGCTCCCGTCTGCTGCTTCCTTGCGGCTCCCTCCCAGGAAGAACTCCTGGGTGTTGAGCTTCGGCAGCCACAGAAGTACATAGCACTTGGGTAGGTAGAAGGTGGCCAGGATGCCCAGAGCACAGAGCAGAATGGCCCCCATCTGTACAGCTGGCTGGTAAGCCACCTGCACATTGGCCAGGAGGGGCACGAAAGAGACCCAGGTGATGAAATAAGCTAGCATGGCAAAGGTGAGACCACGGGCGCGGTTGTAGCGACCAGGCTGGCTCTGTACTAGGAAAGTGCCCAGGAAGCAGAGGAAGGCCAGCATTGCATTGGTGATGTGTACCAAGCCCAGGCTTACCCAGGTATGCATGTGGCAGTGTTCCAGTACCTCTGTGGGTAGCACCTGCCAGTCTGTCATCACCTTTGGTGGGAAAGCTGTCAAGTACCAGGTACATAGTGCTGCCTCCACAAGAATGGCCAGTAGTACCACCAGCCAAGCCCAGGGGCCCCGAAGGCAGCTACGCAGCCTGTTTGCCCAGCTCAGTGGCAGCTCAGACTCCACAAAGATCTCAGCTGCTTGCAGGAAGAGTGTGCTCAAGCAGCCTGTGAGAGGAAGGTGAGCCAATGGCTGTTGAGCAAGGCAGCTGGCAGGGCTCGGCCGTCCTGGGAACAGAAGGACACTGAGGCAGAAGAGGCCTAGGCAGACCAGGCCAAAGCAGAAGAGTGACCCACCTGAGGCCTGGACAAGAGGGCTGTCCCAGTGGTGGACAAAGAGCCCGAGGGAGGCCAGTGCTAGGCCTAGCACCAGGCAAAGCATTAGGAGTAGTAACAGCACAGTTGGCTCTCCCCAAGCCAGGAACTTAGGCCTGCGAGGTAAGCAGACTGTGCTTTTCTCTGGGGACCACTGATCCTGATTACATTGGGTACAGGTGAAGTCATCTGTAATCAGAGAAAGAAAAAGTAATGTAGGGTCTAGTGATGGGAGACAGGGTTTCCCAGCCTAACCGCCCACAGGCTCATCAGCATTAGCCTTGGGGAGGGGGCCCCTTGCCAGGCTTGTGTGCTTCTGCCTCCTAGCCCAACTCTGCAGATTATTTAGGGAAGGTGGTTCACCTGGATGCTTCCGGTAGCTGCCTGCCTTGCAGTCCACACAGTCATAGCAGCAGGAATGGAAGCCCTTTACTCTGCGCACCTGCCCGTCTTTGCACTGCCGGGAGCACTGGGACACTGGCACCTGGACATGGAGCCTTGGGTTAGGCTCCCCTTGGCTAGCTCTGGCCCGCGACCCACACACAGACAGCCCCAAGCCTGTACACCGTGGCTTTTGCCTATCTTGTCCTTACTTGGTTCCCTGGCCAGTGCATCTTGGAGTGCTGCAGCTGAAGGGTGCCATTGAAAGAGCCCACAGTATGTAACACAGGTATAGGGCGCTGCCACACCCACATCTTCAGGTCATACTCCATGTGTACATTCCCATTATTATCAAACTGCAGCGTCAAGTCTCGAGCATGGAAACTCATGTTGTACATGTTCTCCAGGAGCTGTGGGGTGGAGTGGGGGTAAGGTTGACCCATGAGCCTCTCCAATCAAGACAGGGTTTAGCTCTGCCTGGTGGTTCAGTGATCCTGAATGAGCAGGCATGGACCCAGCAAAAACACTACCCTCACCTGCCAGGGTCGAACAGGCTCTGATGTGGAACAACTTGAGACATTGCACTGTAGGGTGTTGTGAAGGGCCTGGGCCACACTGTACACAGCTGCATAGGTTGCAAAAATCTGGTGGTGCAACTGCCCAGCTGATAGGTTCTGCAGCAATCCGGATGACAGGTTCTGCAGCATGATGTGGTTACACTGTGGACAGCGTTGTCCCATCACTTGCTCCTCCAGGTCCAACTCAGCATTCAGTGAGGCACAGAATGTTGGGTCAGCAGCCAGGGCAAGGCGGGTCTTCACATAATGGGAGAATTCGGGGAGCGGGGCACCTCGCTGCAGAAACCCAAGCACAGTGCCCACACGGGCAACATTGGGGAGTGTCATGACCAGGTCAGAGGTCAGCCAGGACTCACTAGCCACCCATACCTTGGGTGAGAGGCCACGATGGATGCTGTAGCCAAAAAGGGAGTGGACAGCACGGGAGGAGGCAAACAGTACCACCACTCGCACTTTGCTTTGGTTCACTTGGTGGAGCACATCCAGCACCTTGCCAAACTGTTGGCCACTGGTGCCATGCAGGGGCACCAGGCCCTCATGTGCGATGCAGATACCTCGCGTATTGGCCAGGCCAGAAAAGATGCTCAGACCTTCCCGGCCATAGTCATCGTCACTACCTAAGGCAGCCACCCAGTTCCAGCTGAAGTTCTGTAACAGAGTCACAATAGCCTCCACCTGCACCCGGTCGCTGGGCACCGTGCGGAAGAAGGATGGAAATGTTTCCCTGTCACTTAGCCGATCCATGCTGGCGCTGTAGCTGACCTGTGGTGATCAAGAAGCATCTCCTGATATGAGAGCTCAGTGAGCACAATTGGCTGAGGAAATACAAAGGAGGTGGGCTCACCTGTGGCATGAGGAAGAAGCCGAAGAACTTGCCTGTAATAAGGGCCAGCTCTGATGAGTGGGGCCCAATGACAGCCAGCACACGGGGTTGGTACTGTGTATAGTTGCAGTAGGCAGCAATACTTTGACTGCCCACCTTTGCCAGGAACATGAGACTGGGCTTCATGGTGACCATGGGCTCTGAGCACGTGTCAAACAGGTCATAGCCCAGGCGCAGCCCAGGAAGCAAGGCAGATCCATTGTTGATCTCCTCCACAGCCATTTTCATAGCCATGACCAGGAACAGACCAAGGGATGAGAACCTGAGGCCACATGGAATTGCAGGTGGTTATCACCTCGTCCCCAGCTAGGGAGCACTACAGACCCAAGACTGCCAGGCTTCAAGCCCACACCCATCCCAGCCACTACCCTCCGTACCTGGTGCACAAGATGCCATTGGGTTGTGTTCTCTGGTAGAGGGTGTCCTCCTCGGTTGAGCCCAGGGGAAATAGCCCACCCAGTATATAGTCCCCTTGTGCCTTGAATTGCTGTGACAGGCACAAGGAGGCCCCCATCCCAAGGCCCAGGAGTGCAGCTAGGCTGAGGCCCAGGACAGCTAGGCCTGGCATGGTAGGTAGAACTTCCAGCAGAGAGTAGGTGGTTGTGCTGGGCTGGATCCCCAGATATACTGAGTTCAGCAGGAGGGAGCAGAGAATTTGGTTAGCAAAACCGCTGCTGCGCTTGGCTGCCAAGCCCCAAGGGGCTCCGGTGATATGCTCAATAGCTCAGACCTGATGGTTTGTGTATACTGGACTCGTCTTCCTATCATTAATGTGCTCAATGTCCCAGCAGGCCAACTGTGCCCACTGGCTGTGGCCTTGCCACCTGCCTATGCCCAAGCCCCTCAGCCCTTTTCATTCCTAGAGCAGCCTGGCAGACTATAAAGAGGGAGATGAAGCATTCAGGGTCCCAGGGTCTGGCTTCTGATCTGAGGCAGTCCTGTCAATAGATGCTGCAGAGGTGGTCTCTCAACAGTGACAGTAGACAGCTGGTCAGCCAGGGCTCTATAACCTTCAGACTGAGTAGGGAGAACTGGGACTGAGTTTCCTGGGTGTCCCAACCTGCCAAAGTCATGGGACAGACTCATTGAAGGTCCCAGCTGTTTTGCTGGTATTCTGGAAGCTGGGGAGGGGGAGGGACCCTTGCCCATTCTGCTGGTCCTTGGTGTAAGCCTTCTAGCCTTGGCAGTCATGCAGGTACCTCCCTCATCAGAGTGTTCACAGCTGTTCCATGAAAATGAGAAAAGGCCATAAACAAATTGGTTCCTGCAGCTGCTGGGGTCAGGTGTGTGTTTTTATGCAGTCAACAGTTCCTTCTTAGCCTCTTACCTTGTTCTGGCTAATTTTACGTCAACTTGACACAAGCTAGAGTTATCTGAAAGCAGTGAGCCTCATTTGAGAAAATGCCTCCTTATGATCTGGCTGGAGAGCATTTTCTTAGTGATTGACAGAGGGCCATTTCAAGGTGGTACCACCCTTGGGCTGGTGGTCCTGGGTTCTATAAGAGACTGAGCAAGTCAGTAAGCACCACCCCTCCATGGCCTCTGCATCAGTTTCTGTCTCCAGGTTCCTACCCTGTTTTAATTCCCATCCTGACTTCCTTTGAGTGTGAACAGTGCTATGTACATATAAGCCAAATAAACTCTTTCCTCCCCAAGTTGCTTTGGTCATAGCGTTTCATCACAGCAATAGTAACTCTAGCTAAGATATCCCCCTTTAGTCGGGGTGTGAAGGAGCTATTGCTAACATAGCAAGTCTCTGGCACCCAAACATTGGGGAGGCTGTTGACTCTAGTTGGAATAGGTGCCCGGGCAATCTCAGTGTCATGTGGCACCTACCAAATGTTATGGAAATGACCTTTGCATTTCCCTGCTGCCCTGGGAGGATGGTCACAAGGCATGTGCACATACTTAACACACATGTACACCATGAATCTGTATGTAGCATCTATATCTGCTACTATACACTTATTTTCTGGCCAGTCTCTTGAAGTCATCAGCCTTAGCTAAACTGTGTGGCCTCTCAGCTGGGTATAGGCATGGATGGATAATATACAGCCTAAGCAGATTAGGTGGGTATGGACCAGGAAGACACCACTCATTATATACCCTCTATCTGTGTAGCTCAGTTTTCCTCCAGCTTTGTCACACAGTGCCTGGGTATCTTTAGACCTTTTCCCAACCTAGCCCCTCAAGGTGGGTGACCCATGTGTTTCTTTTCTTATCTGTAAAATGGAGATAATGCAGATCTCGGTGTATGTTTGTGGTCAAGATAAGATACATGGCAAATGCGTGGCAACTCCTTCAATTCTGGCTGCTGGATAGACACATTTCATGCTTTCATGGGTCATATTGCCCTTTGAGCCCTCAGGATTGGGGGCACATGATTCAGTTTTGTCCCTAGGGTTAACTCCCTCCCCACCCATTCCCCCACATAACCAAACACCTGACACACCTGTGACCCATCCTAGAACACCATACCCAATCATGTAGCTGTAATTTATTTATGTTGGAATACTATATATATCATAGTCCCAAAGTTTGCATTTATACACATCACCTACACTGGGGACACTGTCCTAGGCTTTAACATTAAGACCCAGTGGAAGAGGTTAGGGTTTTATGCACTGGGTGTCAACCATGCTAGGTATGGTCATCTGTCAGCTAGACAAGGGGGCCCAACCTCCTTCCACAAAGTCATGTCCTATCTAAGTCGCCTGAGTATCATGGCGACAGGAGCAGCAAACAAGGCTGGCTAGAGAGAGGCATGGTTTGGTCAATTACTATTGACATCTTAGAGTCTAGGGGTGCCTGTGCTGCAAGAGCCCACTGCAAGAGCCCATCTGAATGCTGATGCTACCTATCTCAGAAGCCGTGAGGCAGGCTGCACTGACCAGAGCAGGCTTGCCTAGGGAGGTCTCAGCTAGCAGTTTCAGACAGTTTCCATTCCCAAGGACACAAGGGCCTGTTTGATAATCCAGGCTGACAAGGAGGCAGGTGAAGGGCAGGGAAAAGTCTTCAAGACTCATGCCATGGCCAAAGGAACCCCATCTCACCCAAGGACAGCTTTTTGAATATGAAGGTTCCCCAGGCATGCAGGCCCAGGGTTGTTTGCCTGGCACCAATCCATGTCTCAGGCTCAAGATGGGCACAGGAAGGACACACATTGGCTGGGCATGTTGACTGTGGGGGAGACAGAACCTCAGCTCCAGGGTCCTGTTCCCTTATACCATTTCATATTCCACATACGGGAGGTAGAACACGACCCTCCTTCCCCATCTTCTCCATTTGCCACCTGCATCTCAATAAGGCCTGACTGAACACACACATAACTAAAGTAGAGGGCAAAGCTGGAGTTCAATTGTCTTCATCCTGGACCAAGAGCATGACTAGCATCCACCTCAACTTGGTTCAGCTGCCCACCAGCCTGTGGCTCTCAACAAGCTCAGCTTTCAGGGGTGACAGTAGCATCCAGAAAGCATTGCTGTGGGAGTAGTCCCAGGTTACCCAAGCCCAGTTCTGAGCAGGGGAAGCCCAGATGGTATGGGCACCGCCACTAGGGCAGGTCTAACAGAGAGTGCTCAGCATAGAGCTTCTGGGAGACATCATACACATGCTCAATGAAAGGTAGCGCCTCTCCCAGCATCTCCACTGCCTGCTCAGAGGACCCCACATGCATGGCCTCGAGAAAGACCTTGCGTGTGGGCAGGGCACAGAAGGCTACAGTGACAGCTTGACGTACGATCCAGGAGTGATAGGCAGCCAGTGTGGCATTATAGGCATCACTGCAGAGTGTGGAGGTACGAGCATCCTCAGGGCTGGTGCGCAGGCCCTCCAGGAACAGCTGTAGCCAGCGCAGAGCCCGATGTAGGCGCAGCACAGTCCGGCAGCCTGAGTTAGGGTATCGGGGGCGGGAGCGGCGATCTATGTCCACCAGCTTGTTGCCCACCTCATAGGCTATCATGGACTGCAAGCTAGTGTAGTGTTCATACTGTGGGCTGTTCCTCAGATGCTCCATTATCTGCAGCTTTGAGACCACATCCTTGGAAATGAACGAGAAGATGGCACCCAGGCTGTTCAGAAACCTGTGCAAGGAAGTATAAATTTGAGGCCCCACCTGGACTGGCAGCCATGCTGTAGTGCAGGAGATATTACCTTGAATCTGCTAGAGCACTTGTTAGTCTGAGGCAAGGACAGGAAGGCTGAATGGAACTGTCTGCTAGCTGTCCCCCTCCCATGCCATGCAGGATGCAGGTGTCCCACGTGAGCTCTGACTGCCAAAACCACTATCTTCAGCAGCCCCAATAAACGCACCTGACTAGCCCCTTCCAGCTGTCGATATAGTGGTCCAGTAGCACCTCCTCATTCTCATTGAGACACTGCTTGAAGCTGATCAGGACAACTTTAAGGCTGAAATCTGTCTCTGGGTAATCCATCTTCCAACATACACTGAAATAGTTTTACACAGAACTTGTAAGTCACCATGCTGGATTAGCTCACTCTGTGGTTCATATTCTCAAGAAGGGGTTGGGAAGAAGGTCTGAAAGTAAAAGTGGGTTGCTAAAACTGTTTACTGAGAATCATCCCTTTACCTGAGTGTCTTCCTCAGGAGCTGCAAGCTCTCGCATAAACCAATTTGACCTTGCTGTGCCCTTGATGAATCCTCTACCCACAGGTCTTGACATAGCTGTTCCTGGCCCTTCAGGTTAGTAATTTCCTCAGTTTCTGACCTGAGACTCCATGGCTGCACTGTTTGCATCTGCTACTGCTTCTTGCTTTTCTGCTTCTTTTCTTCCTAGAGCATCTGTTTCACACATTAGGGTAATGTTTCTAAAAGGTAGGTATAGTCCTGGACCCTGGCCATACCTGGAACTCACTGTATCAGGGCAGCATTCTGATGGGAAGTTGTACCAAAACAAAAATCAGGACTCTAAAAAAAAAAGCAAGTGATTTTCATACAGGGAGAGTAGAAAGGGTGGCTAGACAGGCTTTCCCTTCCTTGATCAGGGCTGTATCCCCAAAATTAAATCAGAGGCTATGGGCTGGCATCTGCTAGATAGACAGATGGACACTCCTACTGTTGAAATAGTATGCATGCCTAAATAACAGGGTGGCTGGGCCAAAGGTCTTACCACACACAAAGGATTGCTCTAGGTCCTCCCATTAGGAAGTGATCCAGGATAGGAAGAGGCCTTAAGGTAAGGTGGGGCTCTGGATACTGTAGGCAATTTTACAGTCACTCCACAAACATGCTAGTTCCCATATTTATTTATCTTCAGTTGTAGGGACTGAGCCTCTTGTATGCTGGGCAGGGAATAGCCTAGGCAGGACTTTAACTTTCTTCCTTTTCTTTTTTCTTTTTTCAAGACAGGGTTTCTCTGTGTAATAGTACTGGCTGTCCTAGAACTCAGTGTGTAGACCAGGCTGGCTTCCAATTCACAGAGATCCACTTGCCTCTGTTTTTCAAGTGCTGGGATTAAAGGCATGCATCAAAAGGTACACACACCACTGCCTGGCTAATTTTATTTTTTTTTTAATGTGTTGTTTTGAGACAAGGTTTCTTTGTGCAATCCTGGCTGTCCTGGACCTCACTCTGTAGACCAAACTGGCCTTGAACCCAGATTTGCCTGCCTCTGCTTCCTGATAGCTGGGATTAAAGGTGTGTGTTATCACACCTGACTCAGCTTTCAGTTTCAATCTTCCTGCTTCCTGAGTAGCTAGAACAAAAAGCTTGTGCCCCATGGTCCTTGTGCTCCATGCTCAAACCCTGAATGGATAACTCCAAGCATCCAGCCCCCACCTTCCCTGGTACTGTAGAACCTTGTCTTGGTGTTCAGGACCAACACTGTGGGGATGTGGCTGCATCTCACCTATGTCCAGCATGAACACAACACCAATTCTGGAGGTTCCTGTGTCCCTTAATGCTGGATCCCTGCCCTAACCGCTGTGTCATCAAAGTCCCCCAAAACCATCCTCATCCAGGGTACCTGGATCTGTGTGCAAGTTCTCCTACCCCCCTTCACACAGTCCTATGACTCAGCCCTTTGACTCTGGGAATGTGGTCTGCATGTCTCCCAATCCATGTCTGAGACTGTCGGAATTGTGATATGGCCCCATAGGTTGAACTGGATGCCCATCACAAGTTACAGACCCTGACCCTGGAGATGGGCTCACCTTGTGTTCAGGTGTCAGGGACAGCCTAAGAAAGATGGCGATGCCCAGTCTTGCCGCACACCCCTCTCTTAGGGCCTGTGTGCACTGAGCAAACAGTCTCTGAAACCCCCGACAGTTCATTTTTTGGCCACCTAACAGTCCTGCAGCTAGGCCTTCCTGCTCAGAGCCTAACCCAGAAGCCAAGTAGCCACTTAGAGCTGTCCATGGTAAATTGGAAAGAACAGGAAGAGAGGGCGACTCATCAGCTCCCGGAAGGCGATGCAGAGCACGTCTAACCTTCCTACGGAAGATCAAGCTAGACAGGGTGGACAGCCGGCAGGAGGCCCACAAGCTAGCACACAGCATGTACACCCAGGCGTAGCAATGAGCGAGGGCCGTTCGGGGAGGTCCGCAAATCTCACCTGGGACGGGTTCCTGTGGCGAAGGGCAAAGGGTGTGGCAGAAGTCAGTGATGGGGAGGGTTGACCAAAGTTACAATAAGGTTGCTATGGGAGCAGAATCTTTGCCCGTCCGTCTCTGCTGTCTACGGAGACGCGACTCCGCGCCTGGATCAAGTCAGCTAGGCGTCCCCATGCTTCTCCCACTCCCGGAGCCTGTTTGGAGACAGCTCGAAGCCTGCGGTTGGGCAGCAGTCTTGAGTTGCAGCCCAAGGGTCAGCCCCTGCCCCGCCCTTCGCTGCCACACCATCCCAATTGGTTGCTGATCATCCAATTAGAACTCGACATATCGGCTCGCGTTTCCGGCTCGAGGACAGGAAGCCGGCATATTGGCAGTTGCGCCTGCGCATTGTGTGGGAATCGTGGTAGCTGGGCGTGGGGTCTAAGCCGCGCGCTCCAAGTTGGAGGCTTTCCTGCGGGCGGTGCACGCGGGCTGTGGAAACGCAGTTCAAGACTGCCTCCCGGACGATGCCTGAAATAAGAGTCACTCCCTTGGGTGAGTCCGAGTCTGAAGCATCTTCAGCGGTGTCCGGCGAGTCGGCCCGGTCCCTTCATAGCAGTCTAGCAATACAGGCAGCGATGAAGCCCTCCACCAGCTGTGCGCCCCAAGGAGCGAAAGCCGTGGTAGAACGTTTCCGAGTTGGAGCCTCCTCATCTCTGCCTGGCATGGGGGTCGAAGAGATTGGGGTTGATTCCTGGCCCTGGGGCTCGATATGAGTTATGAAGGCCCTGCTTCTGTACCTAGGCTGCCTAACAGCGAGACGAGAATGAGGCCCTGAAGCCCAAGGTGGCTGTGAGGTGCAGTGTCTTGGGCAGGCGTTGCCTCTGTTCTGCATGTGGATTGCTACTTCCTCAATTCCGATTTTCTTTCCATCTCTTGCTTATAGTGTCCAGGTTGCTTGCTATCTATCACCCCTCAGTTCAGTCTTTGTGTCTGGTCCATCCTGAATTTTAAAAGGTATATTTGTTCGTCGAAGAAAATACAAATGTAGACTTCTAAAAGTCCTAGCAGTATTGTATTGTGTGTTGGAGGAAACAACCATTTGAGACCTGGGGTTCCAGAACCTGGCTGACGGTCTCTGGGCTTTTCCTCATGCATGTGTTGTCAGGGTGTTGGAAGCACCTTCTCATTCATATAATCCAGACCTCTAGGTTAGAACCCAGTCTTGCCAACTCATTGCATCCCAGGACCTTAGCAGGACCAACCTCTCATACTGGCTACCCCCATCCCATCTAAGTACTAATTAGGTCACAGGGTCAAACAAGACCAAGCATATTCATAGACCCAGCTCCCTGATTCTTACCCTCCCACTGGGAAAAATTTGTTTTATTTTCTGCCGCAGTACTGACATTTTTTTTTTTTTTTTTGGCACGGTTGTTTAATTTCCACCAGATGTACTCAATGTCTAATTGCCTCATTCCCCAAGGATGTAAATCTGCGCTGTGCAGAGATGTATGGTCAAGGTAGTATCCTTTGCTTTCTTCTCCTCCCATGTGTAACATCTCTGTTCTCCTTTCCTGGAGTCGTAAGTCCCTTTGGGAACAATGTTTACCAATGCACAAGAACCTGGAACTTTATAATTCCGAAAAGCATACTTCTGCACCATTCTGGGTAGTGTGTGATTATGGATGCCTGTGATGTTAGGTCCTCCCCTGTAAGGGTGCAGCCATTCTCCTTCTATAAATGTTTCAAGGGCCTTCAGGGCTAGAGGTCCAATGGGGAGGGACACTAAGACCTCTCCCTCAGGGAGCACACATCTTGAGGTGGTAGGAACAGGCCTGCAGGAGAACCTGAGACCAACTCCTCCTCAACCTCATTGTACCTGGCTACATAAGGAAGGCAGACTGGGCCATGGGTGATGTTTGTGGTACTGATAGTGCTTCGTGCTTGAAGTTGGCAGATAAAAACTATAGGATCCAAGATGGACAAGGCTGTTTGTTGTTCTCAGATCCCTGTTGAGGCTTGGGTTATATCTCTCTCCTTATAGATTCCAGGGGGATAACAGCCAGATGGGGGAGATAGGTGTGTTCAGTATGGTCAGTATCATGTGCTGAATAGCTGGGAGAGTTGCTTAGTCCTCGAGACCATGGGAGGCTGAACTAGGGGTTCAGTGGTTTGGGGCCTGTGCTGCACACTTACTAAAATGGGCCATTTGTGCTGTAGCCAGTTACTGGTCAGGGTCATGATTTTTTATGGCTGGGATGAAGCCATATGAATATGGCACCACTCAACACCAAAACTCAGGGTGCAAGCCTCAGCTCCTTCAGGAAGAAATCCAAGGGAAGGAAGCCTCATTGATTTGCAGCTCCCATTGAGGGTCAGGAGTAACTGGAGTAAGGTCTGGGGAAACAGTGATATTCCACAGAGTGGGAGCTGTGGCTTGCTTCTGTTCAGTGTTGGGAACTCTGCTAGGAGTTTGTTGCAACTTTGAGATTTGCAGGAAAGCATGGAAAGGGAAGGCATGGGACCTAGCATAGTGCTTTCTCTCCCCATTGTGCATTCCCCTCATCTGCATGTGAAGGTACCTGTTTCCTAGCCCATGTATCTGTCCACCCAACAGTCTTAGGTCCTGCAGAGCCAATGGTAACACGTAGTTGAGTGGAGGTCAGCCCTTCCAGTAGCAAGGGAAGGAAACGGGGAAAAGAGGGAGGAGCCATGGCCTTGTCTTTTACTTACCTTTCTTGAGCAGGGGCTGGCCAGGATGTGGGTCGCAGCTGCATCTTGGTCTCCATTTCCGGCAAGAATGTCATGTTGGACTGCGGGATGCACATGGGCTACAATGATGACGTGAGTACTGTGGGAGGGTGGTCCAGGGGGCAGCAAGGGCCACAATCTACTTTCTACTCATGTTCTGTCTAGTAGCCATGTGACTCCTGGGACCTTAGAGAGGGGACAAATGGGGCAAGTGGGCAGTGGGGGCATTCCTGGATAACCACATCCTTGCTGGGTGGGGACAGGTGGCCCTGTCACATGGTGCTTGAAAAATAGAGACCAGCTGAGATGAGCCTTTTGAGGATCCTTGAGGGTGGTCATGGGGACCCTTTGGGCTCAGCTATTTGCTACTTGTTGGCAAGGTCAGCTAGTAGCTTGACCTTTCCATGAGGTTATGACTAGCCAGTAGTAAGCCCACTGATGTAGGATTCGCTGGGGCCATTCCTTGGGTGCAACCCCTCTCAGTAGCCTGCTGTGTTCCCACTTTCTCTTGTCTTGTCAGAGGCGCTTTCCAGACTTTTCCTACATCACCCAGAGTGGCCGGCTGACTGACTTTCTGGACTGTGTGATCATCAGGTAGGTTTGTCAGGGTTTTGATGTCCTTTCTTATACCCTGTTGTAGAGGCTGTGATAACCAAGCTACATTGTGGCTCATTCTTCAGCGTGGCCATTGTCCCCTCAGAGCCAGGAAGATGATTGTGCCTGTTGGCTGTTCCTTGAGTGTCATGAATTAAAGCCTAGCAGGTGCCCCGGAAAGTACAGACCTAGCCAGGGTAGCCAGCGCCAAATTGTGCCGTTCACCTGCCAAATGTGGGGTCTGTCTAGCCTAGATGACCCCATGAGACCTTTTCCCACCAGTACCCGGCCACAGTTCCTTCCCATTCCACTAGCTAAGTACATCTGGTGTATTTCTGCTTGCGCTTCCTCTTCCAGCCTCTAACCCTGGTTCCCTAAGCCTTGCTTTCTCTTGTTCCTTTGCTGCCTCAAGAGTGCTAACCCTGTTACTCACTGACCATTACTGATGTCCTAGACAGTTCATAGTCTAGACTCCAGTTGCCACCACCTCAGCTTGATAGAGCTGAGCAAGGGGAGACATTTTTCTAATCTCCCATTTCCATCTTCTGTCCAGAAGGGCTGCCAGCTGTTTCCAGGCCCATAACCTTTCATAGTCCCTGCTGTCTCCCCCTAGTCATGTTGGCCACATTCTGACCATAGCACTTCCCTCTCAACACCTACCCTGCTGCCTTTAGCCGGAGTGGTCCTTTGGGCCTGAAACAGCCCATCTTGGTAAGCTGTGTTCTCAGTAACCCAGGCTCTGGTGTTTTGGTCCATTCTAGACATGGATCACTCACTACCCGGCTGCTTTGGGTTGACTGGCCCCACTCTTTCTGGGAAGGCTATTTCCAGGCCATTCCCAGGCCTTGCCCTGAGCAGTCTTAATTCTCTGTCTCAGTCTGTCAGGAAGGCTCTGTGACTACCTGACAGATAGTGGGTCTTTCCACAGTGTGGTATTTGCTGGTCTCCTTTTATTTTCTCACCAGCTTGTCACTATCTGACTCAGGCGCTTTGTGTGTGTGTGTGTGTGTGTGTGTGTGTGTGTGTGTAGGAGGCCAGAGACAACCTCAGGTGTGTGTGTGTGTGTGTGTGTGTGTGTGTGTGTTGTGTGTGTGTACATGTGTAGGAGGCCAGAGACAACCTCAGGTGTGTGAGTGTGTGTGTGTGTGTACATGTGTAGGTGACTCAGGTGCTGTGTGTGTGTGTGTGTGTGTGTGTGTGTGTGTTGTGTGTGTGTACATGTGTAGGAGGCCAGAGACAACCTCAGGTGTTCCTCCCCCTTGTGTTTTTGCTTTTTGTTTTTCTTCTCATTTTCTGAGACAGGGTTTTTCTGTGTGTCAGGCCTAACTGTCCTAGAACTCTGTTTGTACTCTTAATTGTAGACCAGGCTGGCTTCAGACTCTCAAAGATCTGCCTGCTTCTGCCTCCACCTCCCAAGTACTGTAAGAATTAAAGGCGTGCACCACCGGGCCTGGCTAACCCTTTTGTTTTTTTGAGACAAGATCTCTTACTAGACCTGAGGTCACCTGTTTTCAGCTTCCCAGCATTGGTGGTGTAAGCACACACGTGCCACTGTGCCCAGCTTTTTAAGTGGGTGCTTATGTTTACGAGGCAGGCACTTTACCAGCTGAGCCATCTCCCCAACCCTTTGTCATTGTTTGTTTTAATTGACAACACCTGACTTTTTTTTTTTTTTTAATTTACTTAAGATTTGTTTGTTTTCAAAACAAACTGGCTCTGGCTGTCCCAGAACTCCCCATGTAGACCAGGCTTGCCTCGAACTCAGGGATCTCCTGAGGGTTGGGACTAAAGGCATGCACCACCAGTGCCCAGCTGCTTTTGTTCCTTTTGTGTGTGTGTTTGAGACAGGGTTTCTCTGTATAGCCTTGGCTGTCCTGGAACTCTCTGTAGACCAGGCTGGCCTCAAACTCACAGAGATCCTCCTGCCTCTGACTGGCCCCTGAGTGCTGGGATTAAAGGCATGCACCA